CCAGGTACTTCAGAACTGCATTGAGTTTCCTCAACCGCACATCTCCACAAACAGGTCCACATTCAGGCATCTGACTGTATCTGGTCCAGATTCGAACTTGAGTCTGTATTTCATCAGATCACCGAAACTGAAGAATGATTTCAGCACCTCCTTAGTTTTGCTAAGGGACCCTGGACAAGGGGCAAAGTCCAACTTACCTTCTTCCCCCGAATACGACGTACGGTCATTATAGCTGTCTTTAGACTGAAAGATACCCCAAATTCAGCTACAATGACCGTACCTTGTATTCGCGGGACGGGAAGAAGGTCGCAGCGTTCAGTTTCCTCAACGCCTGAATCTGGACGTGTTTGTGGAGATTTGCCGTTGAGGAAACTCCACGCCATTTCTGCACTTATCTACAGAAACGTCCCGATTAGGGCGTTGAAGGAAACTCAGGGCTGCAACTGTCTTCGCCCAAGTAGAACGTCCGGTCATAGCCCAAATTCAGATATAATGACCGGACGTTTTATTCTGGTAAAGAAGGTAGTGGGACTTGGCCCCCGGCTCTCAGCAGGTGCCATCATCATTCATCAACCTCTGCAAGGCCTCACTCTCGGTAGCGCTCTTATGGTGTCCAAATTGAAGGGCTTGCCCTCTGATGATGTTCAAACCGGAAAGAAAACGAAAAAAGAAAAAGAAAAAGAAAAAAAGAAAAAACAATCCTCCAACTCTATCAATCCTCCAACTCTATCAATCTATCAGTTCGCACGTGCTATCCTTTTTTTTTCTTTTTTTTTTTTCAGGGCCCAGCAGCATCGTCCCATTAGCAGTCGGATAGGAGTGTGGCCGATCCAGTGTGTGTGACACTGAGTGGCAGCGGCCCTACAGGTTCATTACGAAATGAATTTCTGGGCTGAGAAAACAGGAGAAAGGCCACCAAAAAGGGGAAAAAAAAAAAAAAAAAAAAAAAAAGAAACAGAGACCTCCCATCCGAAATCACGGCAGAGGCTTCTCAGCCATCAGATCAGATCACAAATGATCTGATGGTGGTAATTGCAACAACAGTGAACAAAGTAACTGCCACATTTTTTTTTCTGAAATAAACTCGACTTATGTCAGCAGTGATCATGAATATGAGAAAAAAAGAAAAAAAGAAAATAAGGAAAAAGAAAAAATATGTTGATCTGTGGGATGTGTTATTTGCTTTGTCAAATTGGATTATCTGTGGGATGTGTCATTTGCTTTGTCTGTCTGATACACTTTCTTTCCTTGTCAGGTTTGGTTTCCTCCTCCTTTTCTTTACCTCTTTTTTGCCTTTTGGCTGCGTGCAAGCGGGTCCTTGTGACACACGGCGATGGGGGCAGCCAGCGCTCAACCTGTCATCCACGTGGCTGGCCTTGTACGTAAGAGGTGATGAACAGGTGGGTCTTTCCTTCCTTCTTTTCCTTTCCTTGTTTTGCCTTTTTCCGCCTTTGCGCTCCGATTCACAGTGTGACAATATATTTTCACAAGAATATCAGAGCGCAAAAGCGAAAAAAAGACAAAAAAAAGGGAAAAATGAATTCATTTTTTTATATCTTCTTCCTTGTAACTCCCCCTGTTCAGAACCTCTTGCGTACACGGCCGCCCACGTGGATGTGGGTTGAGCGGCGGCTGCCCCCACCCCCGTGTGTCGTATCAACCCACTTGCACACAGCCAAAAGGCAAAGAGGCAAAGAAGAGAGGAAGGGAACAGCCAAATACAACAGAACAAAACAGGAGGCAACAAGCAGTAGCACCAAAACGGATCCTAGATGACAAGTCCCACATGCAAGCACCGCCCCAGTCCTACACAGGCCAAACGACGGGACAAGACCACCCAGGACAAAGCACTCTTGTCCGCAAAAAAAGGAATCCCAGATACATATCTAAACATAAAGGACACTCCCAGATGATGATTCCCACATAGAAGCACCGCCCCCTCACACAGGCCGAACAACGGGAAGCAACCAACCAGGATGCCAAAACGTTAAAAGAAAACCCGGATGACTAGTCCCACGTGAAAGCACCGATATGCCCCGTGATTGAAGGAGGGCTCCACCCAATGAGATAATAGCACAACAGCAAGCGAAATACTGAAAATCTTCTATCCAGAGGCCTAAGTCCGATCCCCCCCTCTTTTGGGGTTGGCCATACCCCCAACGGATTGAAAAGATTTTGGCGGGAAGCTTCCTTTGCACCGACGTGCCCAGTGTTAAGGAGAGGAGGAGGCGAATAAAGATCTCCTTACTTTTTCGGGTAATAAAATACAAGTAAAATGCTGACCGTGGGATCACGAGTACTGCACGGCAGGATTTGGGTCACTCAACTGCCACACAAACTCTTTTCTATCCTATCCCGTTGTTCGTGGGACCATGTTCCAGGGTTCCCCTAATCTTCCGTTTTGGGTTTTTTTTTTCCTTTTTATTTGATTCATTCGAATCTCAACAAAATGAAAAAAAAAAAAAAAAAAAAAAAAGTCCCGAGGAAAAAAGAACAAAAAAAAAAAAACATGTCCCGAAGGACCGGTCCGCCGAATCATTCGAATCTAAACAAACGTCCCAAGAGAACGGAGCGGGACGTATTTGCCCGGATTCTTCGTTGTGGATGGTAGATGACAACAAGGACCGAAGGCCAGAAACACGGCACATGGGTAAGTGGGACCATGCCTGATGGGTTAAGTCGGACCAGGTGGGACCTTGCCTGGATTCTTCGTTGTGGATGGCAGATGACAATAAGGACCGACGGCCAGAAACACGGCACCTGGGTAAGTGGGACCAAGTGGGACCTTGCCTGATGGGTACGTGGGACCAAGTGGGACCTTGCCTGATGGGATAAGTCGGACCAAGTGGGACCTTGCCTGGATTCGTCGTTGTGGATGGTAGATTACATGGATCGACGGCCAGAAACACGGCACCTGGGTAAGTGGGACCACGTGGGACCTTGCCTGATGGGTAAGTGGGACCAAGTGGGACCTTGCCTGATGGGTAAGTGGGAACAAGTGGGACCTTGCCTGATGGGTAAGTGGGAACAAGTGGGACCTTGCGTGATGGGTAAGTGGGACCAAGTGGGACCTTGCCTGGATTCGTCGTTGTGGACGGTAGATTACAAGCATCAGCGGCCAGAAACACGGCACTCGGGCAAGTGGGACCTTCCACTCTAGACAAGGAACCCGGGTAAGTGGGGAATTTCCTCCAGAGTGGAACTGTCCATCCCAATCGCAACGAGACAGAAACGCTCAACTACAATCTTGCCCCCGAATAGGCCGTATGGTCCTAATCGCTGTATCTCGACCCCGAAAGCAGCCCCAAGTACAGCTATATTTGACCGTACGTTCTACTCAGCCAAGTACAGCTATATTTGACCGTACGTTCTATTCAGGGAGACAGACGGTAACCACTGATGTCGAGAAAAAAGAGAGCCATAATAATCCATAAACAGAACAACCATAGGGTCTCGCTCCATTAAAAACGAGATGCACAAAAGACAAAAATATGGAAATGTATCTTTCCATGTTCTAGCGGAAGATTCATTCTCATTTTTTGCACATTTGGTGAGTAGTGGAGCGAGGCCCCTACTCAGATACAGATCTCCTGGACAAAAACAAAAATTCCGTCTCCAAAAGAACTGCCATTGCGCACTTGGAACCATCAAACGGATAGAAGACGCAGATGAAATGGGGGAGGAGAAGGAAAGGATGGGAGAGTGTGTGTGTGTGTGTGTGTGTGTGTGTGTGTGTGTGTGAGAGACAGGAAGTCCGAAAGTCTTTATCGCTCCGTGATTCGCCGATCCTTTCCAGTCTGGTGGAAAGAAGAACGAGCAAGGCGCAATGACACAGGGGCATACTCACACTAAGACTTTACTAAATGAATCTGAGGGCAATTACGGCCGCGAACCGGAATGCATCCGACTGCAATCACGTCCAGAGCTGAGTCAAAAAAGTCGTCGTGTGAGTATAGTTTGCCCTGACACGCATATGACCTTACGGCGTGGTGAGGAGGAAAGACAAAGGCCAGGAAACGTATAAATAAAAAGAGGCAGAATGGCAGAAACGACAGAAAAGACCGACGCGCCTAGCTCAGTTGGTACACCCTTGAACTGATGACATACAGACCTGAGTCATCAGTTCAAGGCTTGACCCGATTGGACCTAAATGACTGGGGAATTAAAAAAAAAAAACAATTCTGATTTCACTGGGGCTGGTCAGCTCGATGATGATATCTCAAGGCCGTCGCCTTTCTGAAAAAGAAAACGACAAAAAGTAAATACAGAAAAGACAAACATGCAGAAAACAGACAAAGACACACACAAAATACATATCGTCACAAATTTATCAGAGCGCAAATGCGAAAAAAGGAAGAAATAAATTCATTTCTTATCTTCTTCCACACGATATATTCCAGTGTGACAATATATATTGTCACATTGTGAATCAGAGCGCAAAGGGAAAAGAAAAAAGGAAAAGGAAAAAAGGGGAAGGGGAAGGAGGTAAGGAAAGCTCCACCTGTTCATAACCTCTTACGTACAAGGCCAGCCACGTGGATGACAGGTTGAGCTACTTGTCTATCTAATTATAAATGCAAGTACCCAAACACCCGCAGCCAAGATTTCTGAGGTTTAAATTCCACTTTACGTCCAATTTGGGAGGGCGGGGCTATAGTTTCTCGACAACCTATTCAAAGAATACCTTCCCCCGCTGTTCTCTCTCTCTCTCTCTCTCTCTCTCTCTCTCTCTCTCTCTCTCTCTCTCTCTCTCTCACACACACACACACACACACACACACACACACANCTCTCTCTCTCTCTCTCTCTCTCTCTCTCTCTCTCTCTCTCTCTCTCACACACACACACACACACACACACACACACACACACACACACGCATACCCACCGACACACGCACGCACGCCCGAAATAGCTCAACGGACGTCCGATTGGGTAAGTAGACGCAGGAAAGAGTGACATAGATGGGGGTAAATGGGCGTCAGGAAATGTATACTTACCGGTAACGTAGCTGCTTCCTCCTCTCCACATCACGCGCGAGGTATCAGGAATCCCATACGCGGAGAGGAGGAGAGGGGAACGGGCACAATGCCTCCCGCGAGCTAACCGCGACCCCTAAGCTTCTCCTTAGCCGGTTCGTACCCTTGGTAGGCCGCCTTTCTGTACCACGCGAGCGCCAGCTCGTCATCTCGGTTCACTCCACGCCCTTCCTCACAACACAATCCGTACAAGTACTGCGCTTCGGCGTTCTCCTGTGCCGCCGCCAGACCGTACATCGCCGCCGCCGTCGTCATCGATCTCTCCAACCCCCCCACACCCCTTTCCAAACACTTACCCAACGCCACCCTTGCCTCGGCATTTCCCTGCTCGGCCGCCCTTCGGTACAGATTCACCGCCTGGTACCAATCTTGTGACCCCACCCCCTCTCCCCTCTCATAACACACCCCCATCCTGTACTGCGCCGGCGGAAAACCCTGACTTGACGCCATTCTATAATACACGACGGCCTCCTCCAGTGTCTTCTTCGCACAACCCTGACCAGATTCGTAGCACCTGCCCACCTCATACTGACCCTCTGGCAGCTGCCTTTGCGCCGCCAGCATAAACCACCGTAATCCTTCCTCCAGCAACTCCCTCTCCCCTCGCCTCGCGATGGGCGTCCGCGGGGCAGCTCTTCCAAGTCTCTCAACCTTAGCCACAGGCGTTGGACCCCGGCCTTGCTGAAACCATCTGCCAATCACGAGAGCGGCTTTCGCATGACCCAGTTGCGCCGCTTTCATGAACCAGTCGAAAGCCAAATCGTCGTCGTCCAACTCCGATCGACCTCCCTGCTCATAGAGAAGACCTAATTGAAACTGACCGTCGGCGTCGCCTTCTTTTGCCGCCGCCGTAAACCACCATATCGCGTGCTTGACGTCCTCGGGAGCGCCGAACTTGCCATCAAGATAGGCTTCGCCCATCTTCGTCTTCTCGTCCGTCGACAAACTCGGTGCCATCAACGACCTCGGAAGATTGAGGGCGACATGGTGCCTGATCTTCTCGTCCAAAGGTGCCGCTTCAATCGACGGGTCCCAGATGGTCGTTGACAATTCGTCGGCGACCAGTCGTGGCGCTGAGCGAAAATACCCCCGCATGATTACCTAGATTTCGTCCCTGTCCCTGCCCACGTCTTGCTTAACTCCCCCCCCCCCAGGGTATTTCCACAAATACCCAATTAGCACTATGCTCCACTCCCCCACAACGAGAGAAAGAGATACGCGGGAGCACACACACAGAGAGAGAGAGAGAGAGAGAGAGAGAGAGAGAGAGAGAGAGGAGGTCACCTAAATTTCGCCGCTCCCGACTTCTTGCTTAATCCCGGAGTATTCACAGAAATATCCGATCAAACCATGCTCTACTTCCACCCCCCCCTCCCCGCCACACAGAGAGACAGAGAGACAGAAAGACAGACACAGAGAGAGAGATGATGTCCGACAGCTGGTGCGCTGAGGAGGTCAGGCCGTTCTTCCGACATGCGGTGACCTATTACCAGATCTGCTTTATGGCGGCAAATAAGTGTCCCCACCTTCCACCCGACAGGTCAGCAACGACAAGAGCTTTCGCCGGTAGGTCGTTAATCGCATCCACTACTCCCATGCAGCGCGATATCCATCCATCGAGACACTGCGTCTGGCTACGTGATAGCTGTCCCTCTGTAGTGCGAAAGATTATCGCGAACCTCCTTTTCGGCCAATGGGTGCCCCTTCCATCCCCTACCGGTTGTTCAGCAATGACGAGAAGTTTCGCCGATCGTCCATCAGTGACGCGAGTGACGGCTGATACTCTTTATTTGATGCTTCTACCATTTGTCAAGTGCCTGGGCCCGTTCCAAGCACGTGCTGCTTACCACGAATCGTCTGAAAAGGCAAAAAAAGGTCCACCACGAATCGTCTGAAAAGGCAAAAAAAGGTTCCCCACGAATCGTCTGAAAAGGCCAAAAAAGGTCCCCCTGCAGTCCCACGTAGAACATTGTCCGCGGGCCCAGCTCTCGAATCGCCGTTCCGTGCCATTTGTCGCGGAGATGTGACAAAAACAGAGCAAACGTGAAAACACGAAAAGCACCGGCAAAAAAAAAAAAAAAAAAAARAAGCACCGGCCTCTCCAATCGACCGAATCTCGACATTGCAGTCGCAGGCTACGATCGAATAGAACAGATATAGGTGCTGGCTCCTCTACACATCATTGAACTGACTGGCCACAGCTAATTCAGCATTATTATATTATATTTTAGTTATGTTCATCTGATTGCATCTGGAGTCGAACCTACCGTAGGTCTGCAACTGTTGTGCTTCAGTTTATTTGGTTGGTCACATCATGGTCGGCCAGGGTCTTTTCCGACATTTTTCCGACAGTTTTTATAGGCGGTTGCCTTTCTTTGGGACTTTTCAGTTGAGACTGGGACTCATGGGACTTCTTCGCAGCCACTGATTCTCTACATTAGCCGCAAGGCTATTTTCAACTTTTTTTTTTTTTGCTCAAATACCATTCGTAAAGCGAACCGAGGCCGGGGACCTCACAATTCAACCCGGAGTTATCCTGGCAGCATTAGCCGCTTACAAGTCTTGGCAGAACCAGAACCGAGGTCTAATACCAATACCAAGCCATCTCTCTCCTTTTGTGTTACCCAATTTCACCTACGGTCCAATACAGCCCGTGAATCTGTCAAGAACTACTGCTAATCTATGAACTCATAGATGCTCACCCACTAATGACTGGCTTATCGACAGGACTTCACTAGAACAGAAAAGAAAAGCATTCCCCTGGTGCAAGTTCTGTAGATCTGCCTTCCCCTCCAAACTTATCCCAGAAACTATAGAACACATATTCCTGCAATGCCCGGGTTCGGTGTGGTTATGGCGATGGTGGGATAGAATCTGGAGTCATATCGGAACATCCCTCCCTTGGCCATGGAACTGGAAAGCCTTATTACTTGAAGATTGGAATCCGTCGTTGGAGGATACCTTTATTCTGAATTTATTTAAGATCTTGAGAAGAGCGGTGATCTGGGCTCTATGGGTTCGTAGGTGCACCTATGAGATGGAAGGTGCTCGGCTTGATGGTCCTGAATATACAGACACTATCAAACAGCAAATTCAGATTGAAATCACAGTTGGATGGGAAAAAGTGAAGGAAAAGCTTAAATTCTTTTCTCTGGAAAAAGATATCAAACAGCACATTCAAATATTCAATCAAGATTGGCTTGGAGGGGAACAAGGAGGGAAGATGGGAAGGGTGGAATGGAAAAGGAGGCAGGAAGATGGGACAGGGAAAGAGTCATGGAATTATCGTCTCACTTTTAATGAATAGAGTACTATTGACCCTAGTATTCCAATGAGTCCACCTTCAAGTTTCCCAGATCCCTTTCCCCCCCTGGGTATGCCACTGGTTCCAATCTCTTGGTACGCGCAGGATGGTGTCTGAGATTATACACTACCTCTTTTCTGGTTATGTTCCACATCGGCTTCTGGAAATAATGGGTTGGAATGTTGTTTATCCGTGGAAACGGACTCAGGCTGTGAGAAACAATTTCCTGTCCACAAAGATTGCTGACCAGGATTCTCAGTTTGAAAAATATCAGAGGATGGGGAAGCTGGAAGTGCTAGATAGTCACGAATATCTGGCGCCCGCTCAGGGTGAAGAGGCACAGATGACATATCCCCATTATCTGCCTGGTTTCCGGCGGGGGCACGCATGGCTGTTGGTTGTCCAAGGTGCAGAGACAAGGAAGACAAAAGCCCTCTTATCGTCTGCCTGCCTGGTTTTATCTAAACTTATATATGATCTAAGGGGACGCTGGACCGGGTTCCCAGCACGAGGGGTTCCTTATCATTCCAAGGATTCATGATGTAAAGGGACGCTGGACCCGTTTTCCAACAGGTGCAGCTCCCCACCAATGGAACGGAGCCATCTACCAAACAGGGAGAATAGAGGGGGTGTCTGCTCTTATCAGCAAAAAAAAAAAAAAAAAAAAAAAAAAAAAAAANAAAAAAAAAAAAAAAAAAAAAAAAAAAAAAAAAAAAAAAAATCCTGCCTACTAACTCAACCTATCTACATCCCCAGAGTTTCCACGGCAGGCGCTGGGTTACCAATCTTTTTTTTTTCTTTTCTTTTCTTTTCAAGTCTGTGACCGGACCGAAATCAACCAAAAACATATTCAAGCTCCGAGCTAAGTTCGCCACCCTGGGCTCTTCCTTTTCCTACAAGCAAGAGGCGTGTGCTAAAGTGCACACTATAACCAGAGATACCCGCAGAGAACCTGAGCTACGGAATACACTCTCGCCCTCACACACCACGAGCACCAATATTCCCGACGTTATAATTGCCACTAAGAGGAGGGAGGAAACCCTAAAACATGAAAAATACGTTGTTATTGCTTACAAACCAAGTACTAAAACTATGTCAAACCAAATTTCACTGGCAACTGAAACTTATGAAGGCAGACCAGGAAACGACTGAAAACACCCAAGAATAAGACCAAGGACAGAGTAACTCGAAAGTCATGGAGAAGAAAATGGAATTTAATTTCGAATTTGAGGTAAATAAAGGCCAAGATAGGAGTAGTCGAAGTAACTAAAGTATGAGTGTCTCCATGTACAGTGGTGCGGTTTCACCCAGTCGACCAAAGAGTCCGTGTCCGTCGCCCTACAGATTTTGTCTTCACACTCCCGGTTGAGATAGTCACTAGTACTCCGTACATGCTCCTCAGAACAACAGTCCCACCACTGCCAGTTGCCCTCCCACTGCTCCTGGAAGTGTTGCTGTTTGACTCACCATTCGCCAAGCACTAAAGCCTCTCTCCCTTCTTCGTGCAGTTTGCAATGTATTTAACCCATAAATGGGCATAATACTATCGTAGATAACCACTAGATAACACTTGATTCTGGAGGTTGATGGTCGTAGGAGGGACGGGAACCACCCTGCTCTCTGATATTCCACAGAGAGACGTAGCCAAATTTGAGATAAAAACGTTGTTGTTGTTGTTGTTGTTGTTGTTTTTGTTTCGTACGAGGCTGTACATACGGCCGTACGTACGACCGTACGGTCCGTACGATAAACCTCCCGTACGTTGTATGGAGTGTTACACAGGTTGGCAGCGTACTCTAGCCAAGCCAAAAAAATGAGAGTTCATTACTCCTTCAGTGGAGAATCTGGATAGCCTGGCCCTTATTTGGGTGCCTTGCCATCTATATTGTGCATGTTGAAAAAGTTGGTATTTTAATTTTCGTATGCGAGCTTGTAAGTCGGTGATCCGCTGCCTGCCCTTGCGAGTTTACCAAATTCTGCTTTTGTTCTGCGCTTACCAAATCCTGCATGATCGTGACTTCCTGGAGGTGTCTCTGAGTGGCTAGATGTTTGGAGTAGTCGTTGCACTTCCTGTTCAACAAAAATAGACCATTATTGAACCAGTTGATCTGCGATTCGTGTTGGGGGCGGTGGTCTTTCCAAAAATCCCAGGCTTGTTGGGGGTATTGCTTGAATGATTTAGTTTTTAGTAGAGAGGTATTTAGTTTATAGTAACTGGCCCCTCAGTCCGCCCGTTTGCGAAATGTCCAAACCGCCATACACATCCTGTGATCCATGTCAGGAAATTGGTTGGAAGGGAGTATTGCCATTAGCGAGAGCCCACCTTCTAATTCTTCCGATGTCAGGATCAAATCGATCCGCGACTTGGACAGCTTGGTAGAGTCCTTGTTTTCGATGCAGGTAAACGTTCTGTCTTTGGGGTGGCTTCGCCTGAATGTGTCAAAGAGCGATAGGGGGGTGCACAAATCTTTCAGTATACACTCATCCTCCTCTGCGTTGTGGGCAGCGGTATGGGTGATTTTACACTTGTCTAGCCATTTGTCGGGCGCTGCGTTGAAATCCCCTGCTAGTATTAGGGGGATGTTCGGGGTGGGGATCGTTGCAATTTTGTCAAAAAACACTCGTCTCTAACGGGTCGTGTTTGAGGCGTGTAGGGATACTATACATACGACTTCTTGTTCCAGGGCGCCCACTGTTTTGACCCATCGTCCCTCCTCCTCGTCCTTTTCCCAATGGAGGACCTCGCATCGTGATTCAGGCGGGATCCAGATGGCCACACCCGAGCTCCCCGGGCAGGGGGCGAATGCTTGGTAGCTTTGAAAGGGTCAGGCTTGCCTGTGCGCCCTATGATGCTCTGGAGAGTCCATAAGGTGGGTTTCTTGTATGCATACCACATCTGGCCATGATCTACCCCCAACCCCTCTCATCAAGTCCCACAGTACTTTAATTTTTTTAGGGTTGCGGGAAGCCAGGCCATTTACGTTGATCGATCTGATGTCCATGTCAGCCTGCTGTAGTATGCGGTTCCATTTTCTATTCTTCCCATACACCGCATCAACCAGCTCCATTGCTTTTGTGTTTTTTGTGTGCTTGTGCGCCCTTAGTCCTTTTTATTATTTGTCGATTAGGGGGGACCATTCTTGTGCATCCCAATCGACCCCTTTGTTGAGAATGTTATTTCTTAGTATTGTGCAGATGCATGTGTGCAGTTCGTCAGTTGACCAGATATTGCTCGGTTTGAACTTTAATTGTTGGGTGTCCAAGAGCATATTGTGTGTGAGCCATTGTAGCCCCGCTTCCTTATTTTCTTCAAATCTTACATAAAGGTCTTTGTAGGCCATCTTCAGCCCCTCCGTGGATACGCTAATGATGATCATCGCTCCTGGTTCATAGTGCCCGACAATAAACTTAGTGACCTCCCGCGTTTTGAGTATGCCCTC